AAGGCAGAGAGGAAGGTGTTTGGGATACCAGCAACAGAGACCCTGTCCCTGCCGTCACACAACTATGGCCTTAATTTTTAATTACAGAAATATTCAAGTAGAAAAAGTTATATGAGCTATAAAGGAAGGTGCATATCTAGGCCAGGGTAGGCTTCCCTGAGGAATGACAATGGAGCAGAGCTGTGTCAGCTGGGGAGAGGGGCAGGGAGGAGAGCCTTCTAAGGCCAGGAAACAGCAAGAGCGGAGGCCTCCAGGTGGGAGAAGGGCCTGAAACTGTGGCTGGAGCATCTGAACACCATTAGTTGTGGTTCCTACTTAGGTATAAGACATGTGCTGTCTAGAACTTTCTAAGTGATAGTTTTTTTATCCAAAAAAGGGGAGGGGGGCTTTCTGCTAGATCTGGTCACCCGAGAGCAGGTAGCATATATTTGCTCTTTGTGATCCAGCTGGCTAGCATCGGGAGAGGGCGGGCAGGGGGCAGACTGCAGGAATGATCTTTGCATTCTTGCATCTCAGCTCCACCCACTTCCAACCAGCCTGCACCCTCCTAGGCACCACGTGTGGAATTCATGAAAGCTTTTCTTTTTCGAAATGAAAAATTATGTCCTCAAGATAGGACATTTTATCAGCAATCCCAGGAAAGTGGAAATAAATACAGTCAAATAAAATTAAAATCCATTAATGGTTCTGCCTCATGCTAAATGACTTGTTTTTGGCAGATAGCCATTGAGGGAAACTTTTGTCCATCCACTTTACTTTAAATGCTTTCTAAGCAGGTCTCAGTCCTCTCTTCCGTTTCTTTAGCTTTAGAACACAAACTGTTTTCTCTAAAGACATATGCTTACAATTTGTAATTCTGTGTCCTGCAAACTCTCTGGAATATGGTTAGCTCCTGAAATAACTTGCTATAAAAACCCATACTATAACTGTATCTGGCGATCCTCTGTTTAATGACATGGACTTATTACTGTCTGTTCCTTTCCTGGCATTCTTATCTTTTTTTTTTTTTTTTTTTTTTTGCTGTTTTTCTTCTCTTCTCTTACTAAATAGTGGCATACTCCTGCCCTCACAATTCCATTTCATCACATTCTCTGAGCACCTTGCGCAAAGCTAGTCCGCAGAAAAGAAATATGGCACAAGGAATGATGCTTTCCGCATCTTCTCGTGTGGATTCCAGTGGGCTGGTTCTGTGATGGAATTCCTGCCTGCAGGCTCGGGTTCCCTCCTGGGCCACTGAGTGGGGATTAGATTCTCCATGAGCCCCTGAGATCCTCGGGAGAAGGACCAGATCTCCATCTCTGGATCCTTGGCTCCTGGCTCACAATAGATGCTCAATAAATGTTTCTTAAATGACTAACACCAAAGCTTACCTCGTGCTTTTGTATGAAAAAGTCCATTTCTGGAAAAACAACAATATTTCTCGTTGCAATTGCTCCAAAGGCATGGGGCTCAGGACTGCTTCTGGAAGCAGGGCAGCCACTGGCAAGGTTCTCTGGTGGGTACAGTGATTCTGTGTGGTTCTCATGGCCCTCCACATCCACGCCCAAGTGTCGTCTCCCTGGTCCTCAGCTACTCAGACCTTTATCTCTTGCTCCTGATTGTTCCCCTCAAAGTGAGGGCTCCTACCTCCCCTCCAGGCCCTGTTATAGACTTTCCACGGTGGCAGCAAGGAAGATAGAAGCCATGAGTCTGCCCCAAGTCCCCCCTCAAGCCCCAGACTCTGACACCCCAGACTCGTCTCTTTCCCCCACTGCACTGAGGTAAGGAGAGGAAGCCCTTAGCCATGCCGCTGCCTGGAGTTCTGCTTGGTGACTTCTAACTCATTCTTCCAGCTGTGAATCAAAACTTAATGGTGTCTGCTATACGCCAGTAGTCCTACTTTGCTCCAGTCCCTTGGCAGTGTGCACGCTCTTCCTCTTCAGCACACTTCCAGCATTATGTACATTTATTTACTCTCATGATTGTCTTCCAGGTCAAAGTGTGAGCCATGTCGTCTTCATCACTGTCTCCCGGATGTGGAGCACAGTACTTGGCCTGAACCCTAGTTGATTCTTAATAAACATGCAAAGAAGACAGACAGGGAGGAAGGGAAAGGAGCTGAGGGTGGGGGCTGGAGAAAGAAAGGAAGAAAAAAGGGTCACTTCTCATTCCTTATTTGTGTTAACATTGGCTGAGGTGCAATGCTGTGTCTCAATGCAAAAGACTGGCTGAGATTGCAAGAAGACAGGATGGGGACATGGAGAAGTTAGGTCTCATAGGCTTCAAGTTTAGGAGCAGAGGGATTTGCAGGCTTCCCTCAGGTCCTGGGGGAGACCATCTCTTCCAGCTCTAGGCAAGCAGAGAGTGATGAGGACTGAGTGACTCGCTTTGTTCCTGACTGGACTGGAATTGGTGTGAATTTTTTTCAAGCAATTTCTGGTGTGTGGTAGGCCAACCCAAGTCCCGTGAACCAGCATTCCATGAGCCTTGCAGGAGTGGTGAGTTAAAAAGGACCAGAAGGCTACGTGGTCTCTGCCAATGCCACTTTCCAAAGCAGGGATCTCTCTGTGTCTCGTCACAAGCAACCTCTGCGCTGGCTGGCCAGGGCCTCACCCACAGGGCCCCCACACAGCCGGGAGCAGCACGCTGGGAGGATTCCCTTCCACACAGTGATGACATTCAGCTAAGTCACAGTTTCCTTGACCCAGGAGGAAACCCGTGTGGTTTGGGGTTAGGGGGCGTGGATAAGCAAGCGCAGATTTTTTTCCAATTGCCCCATGGCTTTAAATTGCAACCTCTCTTTTAATTTTCCATTATGCATCAAACACATCTGTGCCAGAACTGGACAAATGTATTCTGTCTGGGAGGACGATCCCAGACAGCTGTAAATTAGAGTTTGTGTACAGAGATTCCAAAAATGTGGCCTCGTGGTAGGGTGTCCCTGGGACCAGTCACCTCCTCCACAGTCTGCTCCGAGAGGCTGCTGGCTTTGGCCTGAGGCCTCTGTCAATAGATTTTGCTTTGTATTTGGAAATTCTGTCTTTCCGTCAAGTCGCCGCAGAGACGGGTGTGCAGGGCTGCCTGTGAGGCTTTGCTGGGCAGACCTGTCCCAGGCAGCCTCCCCGTGCTACTGGGAATGGAGCCTGACCAAGGGCATCTCTCTCTTTCCTGCACAGGAACAGTGAGGACCTCAGAATTTATTTCCCCCCAACTTAAAGCATGGCCCAAGAAGACCCTCCCCACTTTTTCTGGATTGAATCAAAAAACTACCATGTAATGCTTTGAAAACACAACATTTTTAAAGCTACAAGAGAAATACATGCTTAATGCAGAGAATTTAGACAACATAGTGAGAAGAAAAAAAGTTTCCTGTAATCTCACCCTTCAACAATAAGTACTGCTAATGGTTTAGCAAGACCTCTTTCAATAGGTTTTCCTGCCATGCTGCCCTTTTTAAAAATGTAGAAGTCTTTCAAAAGCTGGTTGAGCCCAGTTCCTTCAGCTATCCCTCACATTATCCAATTTGTACTTCCTTCTGAGCACTGGAAACTTTTAGTTATTCCACATGGGAGAGTCCAGCTGGTAGAACTCTGCCCCTCTGACTCCTCACGAGTCACACCGCTTTTCTGAAGGAGCTGGCCACAAAGGGAATTGGCCCTGGGAGACAGGAGGTGAAGAGGGATTATGTCCTCCGATAAATCCAGCCAGTAGCCCTAAAGGGTGGTGCCAGGTCCTTTATAAGCTGCCGGAAAGATAGAAGGATCCTGTACAAGAAAGCCTTTGATCCGGCCCTGACTTTGATGTGGGATTTCCTTATTAGACCTCTCTATTCCTCTGATTTTTGGTCCTCTGTCATCCTGTGGCCAGCATCTGTCTATGCCCTGCTCTGTTTGGGCAGGGGCAGCCTCTACATTGTTCACCTGGGCATAGGCGAGGACAGCCCACCAGCCGCGGGATGGGCTGGCAGAATCAGGAGGCTATTTTTACCTCCCAGCTTACTTTCCCATCGTGCCTTGAGCCCAGAAGGTGCCCAGTACATGTCTGCTGGTTGATTGATACGGCGAAATTCGAGAGTGGTGTTTGTGGAGAGAACACCGTGGCTACAGCCTGCTGGCTTGCAGTGGTGACAGTCCTGCATGGCAGAAAGGGCTTCCAGCTTCCACGCCGAGCCTCACAAAAGCCTTCAGAGTGGAGGAGAGGAAGCGGTGATGACTCTACCAGCCGCCAGCCTGCCCAGCCACTGCCCGCGCCAGCCACTCAGCCTCTCCATGAGCCACACGGCACACAGACCACGCTTTTTCAGAAAATTATTTTTTCCTTTCTCACTTTCCATGGAAACTCAAAATAGCAACCGAAAAAGAAGGGGGAAAAAAAAAAAAACTAAGACCAGGCTCCCTCCCTGCCTGCAGAACCATCCCCAGGCAGGGCAGTGACCGTATAGAACAGGGGACAGAGAGGGCTATAGACGCCTCGGAAACAGCTTTCTAATTGAGGACTTTCTAATTGTGCACCCATGAGGTGTGGGTGGGTGCTGAGGGTGGTGTATTTTCTTCCAATTTAGAAAAGTGGGTTTCCCCCAGGTCTTGGAGTTCATCTTGCTCCTGGTGACCTGGTGGCTGAGACACAGGCACGTCTCACTGTGGAGTTGGTGAGGAGGTCCAGTGTGCCCAGCAAGGGACAATACGGCAGGGCGCAGGTGCCCTCCAGGGGGGACTATGGGAGCATTGTTTGGAGCGGCCTCCAGGCGGCGCTGTGTGCGCCCATAAGCACAGGGCAGCCTGGCAGCGTGGAGAAACCTGCGCTGGGGTCACGAAAGCCTAGTTCTAGCATCATGTCAGAGGCCTGAGGGGTTTCGAAAACATCCTCCCTCCTCTCTGAGCCTCCACTTCCTCCCCTATAAAACTTGAAGGGTGGACTGGGCAATTTCTAACCACGCGGGCCCATGCAGCCCGCAGCTCCTGGGTCTGCTCTGTGCACACACCTGCCCTTCTGTTGTAAACGCGCTGTTGTTTGCCTTCCAGCTGGCTGGCTCAGCAGTCATAGCTTTTGGACTATGGTTTCGGTTCGGAGGCACCATAAAGGATTTATCATCAGAGGACAAGTCCCCGGAGTATTTCTATGTGGGTGAGTGACTTCAGCTTTCCTAGCTTTAGCCCAGGGGAGGGCTGCCCATAGGCTTACAGCAGAGCCTGCGCTTGAATTTTGAGGGGAGGAGGAGGGACGGAGGGGCAGGGAAAGAGCTGGAAAGGAGCCAACAGCCACACCCCTATACACTCCACCTGGCCTTCAGAGATGTGCACTGGTGAGCAGGCGGAGGGGACCTGCTCACCCCTGCACCCCACCCCTCACAAGGTCCATTTCCACTCTCCGAAATCAAGGAAGGCCAGTGCCACGATGTTGAACCATTGTGCTGCTTTTCTTCTCAAGGAAAGAAGTCTTGAGAAAATATAACTAAAACTAATTTCAAAGAATCAGAAAACTCCCTTTTGCCCCTGAGTAAAGTGGGTACCCCACAAGGCTGTCATTCACTGGTCCAGCTGGGGTGACATGGGGCCTCTGCCGAGTCAGGATTTTACTTTGTGCTCTTGTATTTTAAATAGTCTGTGATGGGAACATAACTCAAAATGCAGAGAGACATCTCCAGGTTTGAAGGTACCAATCTCAGCCCCTCCATGACTGGGGACTGCAGAGATGGGGAAGAAGAGAGGGAAGGAGGAGGGCGAGGAAGGCTGCCCCTGGGAAGAGGCTAGGAGGGGCCGTAGCCCTGCCTGGGCCAGCAGTGGGAAGGGGCGAGGAGTGCAGAGGGACCTGAGGCTGTGCTATTAGTAGGGACTGAGCATCGCTACACTGCGTTTAGTTGACCCACTTCTAGCCCTCTCCTGTGGCCTTTTCTTATCCTCCAGCTAGGCGGGCCTGGACTCTGGATTTCAGAAAGCCCAAGACCATTGTCATTATAGGTGACCCCCCTATCTGGCTGTTTTAAGATCCGCACCAGGCATAGAATAAGCTTCAGTTACTTGTGGCAACCTCTGTGCTTGGGGAGAAGGAGGGTCCCGCACAGGTGATTCGCTCCAAATCCCAAGAAGAGCAGAGTCTCTCCCAGGAGAGAGCGAGAGGGTCCAGCCCCGCTCAGGGCCGGCTCACAGCCGTGTTGCCTCCCCTTCCAAACACTCTTCCTCCACGACACCCTCCTGCGAGGGAAGAGCCATGTCAGCTGGGATAGTTTTAGAGGAAAGTAACAGAAAACCTGCTAAAGATGGACAACAATAAGGACATTTCACACTTCATGAAATCTTAGATGCAGCTTTTTGTAAAACGCCCAATTATTTTAGATGCCACTAAGAAAGGAAAAAAAGCTGACAATTTAACTATGACATAAAAGATGCATACTAATTTCAGAAATGTTAAGATGTTGAAAAAAATACATCTCAAAGTTGATGCAATATGATAAAAGAAGTCTGGAGATGGGGAATTTCTAGAATTAGTTCAGGGCTCGTGGACCCAGGTCCTTCCCTCTTTCTACTCTGCCATCCCCACTATGTTCTCAGACCTCACCTCTCATAGTTAAAAGATACTGCAGGGGCTCCAAGTATCATTCCCTCACACAGCAACACCCAAAGCAGAAAAAGAGGAAGTTTCACCTCATATGGCCCTTTTCAGGAATGAATAAAACCTTTTCAAAAGGCTCCCAACACATTTCCCCTTGCAGTTTATTGGGCAGCATTGCTCTGTGTATTCACGCCTAAACCATCATGGCCAAGAAGAGAACTATTAGGGCTGGCTCTCTGACTAATTGATATTCACACTTGGGCCCCAGAGTGGCCCAGCGCCCCCACCCCCAGGGCCTCTGACACTTGGACAAGATTGGGGTTTTATGACAGGGTAAAAGTGGAGGAATCTGCAGCACACTCAATACTGAAATGCCCATTTCTACCTACGCGGTTTCCAGGTGGTACACACCCTTCCATCCGAAACTAACATATACATTTAGCATATTCTTCCTTGCCGAACTCCTGGCTCTGAGAGTCTGCCCAGAAGCATTCTCCTATCCCAGAGCAGGCCCCGAGTGCTCTGAGGACAAGCTCAGCCCGTCCTTGTCCTATACCACCCCAGGAGTCGGCGAGCCCACCCAGAAGGCGCATAGAAACAGGCAGAGGGGAGGGTGGGGGAAGGAATGCATCTCCCTTCACATTGCTGATATCGCAGAACTGCTGATTTCATAACCACTCCCACAGTTTCTAACTCAGTTTTAGCATAGTTGCAACCCAGTGCTCGCTCGATGAACCACAGCAAAGGTTTAATCCCACTTTATTGGGATTCTTGCCGCTACAGACGTATATAAAAGAAATGTTCCGTAATCAATACCAGACAACAGTCACAAGCATAGTACATGCCGTGCAAGTGGTCCAGACATAACCACTGAATTAAGAAGTGAGAGAGCACCGGGGGCTGGTGGGACAGGCCTCAGGGTGCATGGAGCTTGAATGGGGCTTGGAAGGACAGGTGGGTTTTGGATAGAGTGAGGTAGGAAGAGCCTTTTTCAAGACTCTTAGGTTGGCCAACATATGGCAGGCAGCTACCATGTTTTTCCTTGTCTGTGGGGAATATGGCTGATTGTTCAGGACATCTTTTTGGGGAGTCTTCTTAACCCAGCTCTCCCCAGCCATTTACAATGGATGCTCGCGGTGAACCTTATTTCCTGTCCCTACTCTGAGGTCAGTAGTTACTTGATGTCCTAACATGAAGTCAGTCCCAATAAAACAGTGGAATTCTTTTGCTCCTAAACGTCAGGCATGTGGGAGTTCAGGGTGTGGCATTCAGTCTGTCTACTCTTATGTACTATTGGGTTTGCCCTGGAACCCTATTTATCTCATCTCCCTCAGATACAATCCTAGAACTTTCTAGCAAAAACTGCATTTGTGCCCTTAGGTCAATGAGGAGTCTATCCTTAGTTAGAGCCAAAACATGGCAAAATACCAAACAATTCAGTTATTTTAGTTTTTTGGATTTCACCAAATATTTGGTTTTATGTATACATAGTTATGCATTCAAGCAGGAGTGCCTCTACTCTTTCCATTTTGGGCAGTTTTTCTATATTAGAAAAAAAGCTGATTTATCAATATAACCTAAATATAATCCGTCAGCCAGCACTTACAGTCCTGGGCTCTGGGGTCATGCACAGAAAAGGATAAGAACGCTCTAATTGGCCCCCTGTAACTTGCAACATATTTGAAAAGACCACACAGACTTAATAGTTTAAATTACAATAAAAACTAGTACGTACCTAAATGCCAACCAAGTGGTTTTTGCAGTGGGTGTATCAGAGGTCATTCTAAACTGGTGAGGCAGGAAGGGTTTGAGTTAGGTTTGGAGACTGGGCTGTAATCAGTGGAGAGGAAGAAGAGCAGGGACTGCAGAAGCTGAGGAACAGGGATGCACAGGCATGTCCACCGGGCAGCAATCAGCAAGCCCAGACTGTGCAGGGGGCTCCTACTGGAACCGGGTCCAGGTGAGGCGGGGAGTAAGGTTGGGAAGGTTGGGGAGGGAGGGAGGGAGGGTCAGTGTGGAGGGCCCTGAGCATCAAGGTTAATTTGGTCGGCAATAGAAGGGTAGCCTGGGGCTTAGGGCAGGGTCTGGTCTGCACTGCATTGTAAAGAGACTATTCTGGCAGCAGTGGGATGAAAGAGGAGTCATAGGACAAAAGAATATATGGTAGATCATTGACATCGTCAGGCCTGAAGAACTGAGGGCATAACCCACAATGGTTGCAGTAGGAATTATGAAGAAAGAGGCAGAAAGAAAGGAAACATTATTAGCCATTATTAAGCCTGACTAATCAAACTCAGGGACAGAAGAAATGAAAAGGGCAGAAGATAGCAGTGATGAAGTCAAGCCTGCAAGTAATAATCCATGGTTTTCAGGTGGAAACCCGAGTTGAGGGGTAAGCAAGACGCCTCCTGCTCGGAGAGGGGCAGCTGTGCGGAACTCGGTGGAAGCCAGTCCCTGGGAGCAGCCTCTGTCTGTGTCGCCCCAGAGACAAAGTGCTGATAGCAGTTTCACAGGTGTGAAACTTTGGGCTCAATGTAAGAAAACCTTTTTAATGATTTAGTAAACCAGAAAAGTTGGACTGACTTCCACAGATGAAAGCGAGCCCTCCTTTATGTTGGTTATTTAACCACTAATGTAGCAAAAATCAGAATTAGGCTTTTATCAATTCGGGGAGATTCCCGGCTTGAGCAGGGGGCTGAACTAGCTCTCCACAAACATCCCTGGTTCTGTTTTCTAACCTAAACCAAAGCAATGTGCCCCCTGCCTGAGATATGAGGAGTGAGTGATTGTGTCAGATCTTTATAGGCATGTCTGCCAGGACTCTCTCTGTTGCAGATCATAAACACCAACTCAGATCGAGTAGAGCAAAGAAGAAATTTATTGACTCTTACAGCTGACCGGTCCAGGGTCAGTGCTAGTCTCAGGGACCCAAATGGTGGGACCAGGATCTAGTCTGTAGCCATTGCTTGGCCCCGCTTTCCTCTGGCTCCATTCTTAGGCTGGTGTCTCTCCGTGTGGTAAAACGGCCTAGAGCCAGTGGCTGTAGGCTCTATCTCTGGAGTCCAGTAGAAGAGCCTGCTTCTTTCACCCCAGCAGATCCAGCCGAAGCCCCAGGCCTAACTCTCACTGGCAACATGGGCGCCAGTGGCTGCTTGCCGGCTAAGCCTGGGCTTCACGCCTACCTTAGAGTGGGAGGTGAGTCCGCCCTCTCAAACTGCAAGGACTGAGAATGCAGGAGGTTCCTTTATCTAACAGAGAAAAAGAAGAAGTGAACCCCATGTAGGGAAAGCAGCAGTCCACGAGCAGGGCCTGGATCCTTCTTGCTTGTCCTTGGTGGCGTGCGGCAGGGATGTGGCTTTACCCGCCCTCAGTCCTTCCTCAGCCCATCTCCCCTAAGTCTGCCCAGAGGGGCAGGTGGTGACGATGCTCACGGCAGGCGGCTGGGGCCCGCGGTCAGCATGGCGTCCCAGCTCCTCCTGCTGGGGCTCAGCCTCACCTCCAGGTCTGCTGACCCACCTCTCTGGATGGTGGCAACAAGAAGTCCTTATAAAGCCAGGGACCTTTCTTTCAATTCA